CATCCTCATCAGATGACTGAGTGATAGATGTGCATTGTTGTGTATTGCATGCAACTAACGTTGCATCGTATATGACTTCTGGACAATTAGGATGATGGTCCTCATCATTGCTCTCCATACTCCTGAAACTGAGTTCTAATCGTATGTGAATGTGTGTATATATATGTATAAGAACATATATGCATATCAATAGCATACAGTCTTACTAATCAAGCTTTATGGACAATAATAAGAACAAAACCCAAAAGAAAATATACTTGTAGATAAGTTACATAGAAATAGATAAGTATATATCATATTTATGGAGAATATAATAACTCAGTATTACATCTGCTAAGCGTATAACACAAAAAGATAGTCATAATCCAAGCATCTATGTACAAAAGATAAACTTATATCAATATGTATGAATTAAACAGATAACCAAAAAGAATATTCCAATTCAACATAGATCTTAATAGAAAACAGAGTCATAATGCAGTATGTTTGGACATTATAACAACATTCTTCAAGATAATAGGTAAAAAAGAATATGAATTTGATAATAGACTTACAATGATGAACTCCTAGTGTAATCTGAGTAAAAAAGAATATGAATTTGATAATAGACTTACAATGATGAACTCCTAGTGTAATCTGAGATATTGATCAGTACATTGAGAACACGGATAATAGACTTACAATGATGAACTCCTAGTGTAATCTGAGATATTGATCAGTACATTGAGAACACAATATTGCACTGCAGAATATAATCATATTAAGGCAATAAGTTTATATCAAATGAGATCATCCATTTTTCTCTAAAGTAAAATTGATAATTACAGTAATCATAAATTGTCCGTGTTGTATCTATATTGTAAGTCTTACTTAAAATATTAATTACAATTTCCAATATAAGTTTAAACCACTTATTATATAAATATAAATTAGATTGTTAGATTAAATAGCTTGGTTTAAATATTTACTATAAATTGTTGAGTTTCAATTTTGTAAGAATATTATTTCTGGACGTAAATTAAGAAGAATGGCATTGTCGTCAATAGTATACAACATATGTTGTGCTGAGCATTGTTCATAGAAATTAAATTTTATACTATTGTGTTATACTCTAAATAGTTATTTGTCAGCTGACAATTCATGGAATAAAGTTCAAAAAAGCAAGGCAAAGTTAAATTAAGTTATTAAGTAAACATCAAGGTGAAAGTTTAAGGTAATTTGTCTTTTTGTATTGTTATCTCATGAGATGAACACAAATATGCAAACCAAACTGTGTTGATATTGGTCAATAATGAAATGCAATGTTGAAAGAAGTATTGATAAAATTAAAAGCATATTTCATATTTATGAACTCCTCTCGGACTGAGAGTAAGATATATTAGTCTAAGAACGATGTTGCACTGTAGAATAGATATATATGAAGATAATTAGTTATATTCAACTCAGATTACTATATTTTAGGATAGGGATTTATTGATTACTCAGTATTACATATGGTAAGAGTATAACACAAATAGATACAGTTATGAAGTGTTTTTTTATATATATAATTTAGGATATGGATTTATTGATTACTCAGTATTACATCTATAAAGAGTATAACACAAATAGATATACGATAAAGTAACAGGAACATTCCAAACAGGAAGATTTATCTCAAAGTCTATGAACTAAACAAATAACAAACTGAAAGATTCCAATTCAACACAGATGGACAAAGAAAAGAGAGTCATAATACTGAATTTATGGACATTATATCTTGTTATTTCAACACAATATGTATTATATGAATTTAATATGCTAATAGACTTACAATGATGAAATCCTCTCTGACGGAGAGTATGATCAGTACGATGAAAACACGTTGTTGCACTGCAAAGAAGATACATATGAAGATAATTAGTTTTAATCAACTCAGATTAAGCCATTTTCTATAAAGTACTCTTGAAAATTCCAGCCATCATCAAGAGTCAATTTATTTCTGTATTGTAACTCCTATTCTATAAAGATACTTTTGCTAGATAGATTAAACAAATTTTTTTATTTAATATAAATTGTTGAGTTACAAAATTATCAGAATCCGAGGACTTGCTAAAATTCACAATGAGTTTGTATACTCAATTAAAGTACATAATGCTATAGTGAGTTTTATTCAGGTAAACATATGGAGGAAATTCATAACTGGATAGATAAACATATCGAGGAAAGTACAGATACTTCTCATTCAATTTTACCGAGCACTCAATTATTTAGCTTGAACTATCAGGCGGAATCTAAAATTATTTTTAAATTAAGTATAATTTTATATTTGATTTCACTATTTGTCAAGAACAGAGTGTAAACATCAATATAATTGAAATCTAATTTATAATGTAAGCCTGCATCATACTTATTCAAAATCAAAATAATAAAATCATCCTTACAGATTATATTTGTATATTAAATTATGAAGGAATCAAGCATCATACTAATTCAAAATCATAAAAATCAAAATCATAAAACTCATTCATACTAAGTCTTATTTTGTACGCGATCATTGTGAATTTTAGTGATGATTTCAGCATCAATATCAATTTTATTACACCACGCGGAAGAGGAAATCATGAACTATCAGGCGGAAGATGAAATCAATTTTATCAAACTCAGTGACAAAATCATGAAATCAAGGCAAAGGTTTACCTGAAGAAGAAATCTCTCATACCAGACGCGGAAGATGAACTCAATCCTCTCTATCTTTTCTTTAGGCGGAATAGGGAAGAAGAGGGGAACAGGGCAACCGGCAATTTGCTCGTGGGGAAGTTGAGCAACGTGGTCTTCGTGAGCGGGGAAGATCTCGCAACGTGTCCGAAGTTCTCTCAACGTGGCGAATTTGAAGGAACGGCGGTAAAAATGGACGGTTGTGGGAATATCTGTGAAAAGGATTGTCGGTTGTAATTATTATAACCTAAATGAAAAAAAAATATGCGGGAATATCTGTGAAAAAACAATGATTCACTAAGCAATTGTTCCGAACTCAAAGCAGGCAGAAGATGAAAATATTTATAACCTGAAGAAGAATTTCTCTGTATAGGCGGGGGCTGAACTTAGTTCTCTTTCTTTTTAGGCGGAAGAGAATGGAAATCTGTAAATGGTTGGAAGCAGAGGAACTACAAAGTGCTTGTGGGGAAGTTGAGCGACGTGGTCATGTTGTGCGGGGGAGCATCAGCGACGTGGCGAACTGGCTCCACGTGTGTGAAGTTCTCGCAACGTGGAGTGAAAGAATGATTTACGTTTACAATGGACAGATGTGAGAGATTTACTTAATAATGGACGGTTATCATTATAAACACCAGCCATAACCATTTTTTCTGTGGTTAATTGCGTTATCAATGGACGACTGTGGTTTTCTGTGGTTAATTGTGTTATGAATGGACGGATGCGGTTAAATGATCGGAAAATACGTGGATATTAAAAAAATTTACTGTTCATACAGAGATTTTCCTTTAGTTATAAAGGAAAGTAGTTAAAATTTTTTGACTTGAATGAAGAACTAACGGGCCTACATGCATATACTGAAATTCGGGTAAGTTACATTAAACTCCCTAGAGCTTTTAGCATTTTGCAATAACTTTCAAAATTACGCTAAACCACCAATGACTTTTACATATTGCAGAATATATTTTTCATATAACCCCAATAAATAAATAAAAACACATAAAAAGCATTTTGAAAATTATAGGGGGTTTAGTTTAATTTACCCAAAAATTATTAGGGGTTTTACCCAAAAATTATTAGTATAAATTTGAAAGTTATTGAGGGTTTACTACAACACGATAAAAGTTCGTGGAAGTTAAGGGCCTATTTGGTTCATTTCTATATAATATAAAAATAGGATTCCAAGGAAAAAAAATATACTTTTGAGTTTTTCATGCATTTCTTGAGACAGTTTTTTTTGCTTTGTTTCGCACATTAAAATGAAAAGAAAAATCTACGTCACCTTAAATCCATGCTTTGGTTCAAAGCTTGATATAAGGAATTGAACATATTAATAAAAGACATATGTTAAAATTTTATACGTGTTTTTCTAAAAGCCATCAACCCCTTTCTAAAAAAAAATTAACGCGTTTTTCTAGAAATTCGGCTTTAAAAAATCGGAAAAGGCTTCTCCACTAAAGATGACATTTTTTGACGTTTCTGAAAAGTTTTTCCAACTATTTTCTTGTGAACCAAATTGAGTAATAGGAATCCATTTGGTCATTTTTATACAGAAAAACTGTGTTAGTAGTTTTCCATGTGTTTTCGACCTAGGTTTTTTGAACCAAACAGACAGTAAAATTCCTCTGTAATCAAATGAATACTTATGCTTGAGACTGTTAAATATCTTTTTATAAGATCAGACCCATAAACTCTGAATTCACTTTTGAAATTTGCCCGTGATTTGACTGCAAAAATATTTGTAGTTACAAATTGACAAATTATTGTTAAGTTCAAAGATTTGGGTGCATGATACAAATAAGAGAATATTAAGGACTAATATCTAAAATAGCACTTTGAGAACAGCCTCAACTGCACATTTTATCTTTTTTATTCATCGAATCTTCATTTTTTTTCTTCACTTCCTTGATTCTCATTAATTAGGGGTTTCCACGTCGAGATCAGGTAATAAAATTCTCTCATCTTCCCAATTTTCTTTTTTTAAATTATTAATTTTCGTGGTTATCTAAAAAATTTCTCTCGTCTTTAAAGTCAATTCAATTACGCCTCAATTCTAGGGTTTCGGAGTTCATTCAATCAGATAATTCATCCTTGATGTTAACTCCACCAAAAAGACGAAAACTTTGGGGGGTAATTTTTCTAGTTTTGGTCTTTATCTAAGAAACCTAGGGTTTTGTTTGGTACAGAGATTAGGTTTTATAAACATTTGATGGAGATGTGAAGTGGGTTTTCGTAGATGACGTGTTTGACTTGCTAGTATTGCATTGTGTGTATTCTGATTGGTTTTGACCTTGGAATTTTTGTAAATTTCTATGCTTTCATATCTTATCCTTATCTGTACACAGTTTGTCATCTACCCTTTACATGCTTTCAATAAATTTGATTTTCCTCCCTTATATACTCAACCAATAAAGAAACTTGGGAGTTCTAAATTTTCAATAAAATTTGATTTCCTCCCTGCATATTGCAACTTTTGAGGCTATTCTTCTTGTATCTGGTAATTTTTTTTCCTAGTGATATTTTTGTTAGTGGCTACAATTTGTTGCATTGGTCAAATTGAATCTGTTTTAAGGAAGTTTGCAACATTGGTTAGCCTGTGTTGGTTTTGTTGCTTGTAGGAAAAACCAATTATATTTTGATTTTTTTTCTTGTGGAATAGATTTTGTGTTCAAATAGTTATGTCGCAGAGACAACCTTTTGTTCTTATGTCCTTTAGTAATTTTGGCGTCATGAAAATTTTCCTTTATACTTTTTTTATACTTTTACCTTTAGAAATATTGATTATTGAAATCATGCTTCAATCATGCAATGGGGTTCACTTGTTTTGATTGAGCTTCAAAAGTTTATTTGAATTGCTGTTTATTTATGCATATTCCTAATTTGTGGAACAAACTCCAATTCATTGGTTGATATGCAATTGATAATAGGCGATATCTGCTATTATAATTTTTGTTTCTGCTAGATTGAAAATCTTTATCAGGAATTTTTAGATCTTTTTCTTTTCATGTTTGACTTTATAGTTATTCTTATACTTTCCTGGTCCTGCATGTTCACTTTGATGCGTTATCGGTTTTCATCATCAGTAGTTTACTGGATTGCTATACTTAACGTCATTCTAACATGGAAGTGTAGAGTTCATTTGCACTTTTTTTTATCTGTTAGGATAAATATTGTTATTTTCATAACTCTTTTTTTTCTTTTTCTAATGCCATATTAGATCATTTTATAATCCGAAACCATTAACCATGATTGCTTCCATATTGAAGTCTTAGTTGCTAATAGAAATTTGATACATGTTGCTCATTGATGGGCCATTGACCCTCACGACAGAGGATTCCTGGCCTCATTAACACAATTTATAATCCTATTTATGCATTTTTAGCACTCAGATACTGTTGGAAATCCACAGTCAAGTAATCTTAAATCATAATTGTGTTGTTTTATCAAATGTGAATCGTAGACTATAAAGGAATTAAGGTGGTGATTATCTCTGTGATATCTGTCACTACGTGTTCAGCAACTTGATGTTCGTTGTGAAACAAAGTCTAAGGTTGGCTGCTTTATCTTCATCTTTTATGATTTTTAATGCATTTGTTTGTTATGGGGCAGGCTTTGTGTTGTTTACAAGTAGATCAGTCAAAAGTAGCAATCAAAGAAACTTTTGGTAAGTTTGACGATGTTCTTCAGCCTGGATTCCACTGCTTGCCGTGGATTTTTGGCCAACAGGTAGCCGGATATCTGTCACTACGTGTTCAGCAGCTTGATGTTCGTTGTGAAACAAAGTCTAAGGTTGGATGCTTTATCTTCATCTTTTATGATTTTTATTGCATTTGTTTGTTATTTTGTCACTTAAAGTTGAAGTACTAATGTAGTGATGCATCAAGTTGCATTTGATTTGTGAGAAGTTACCTTTACAGACATATTTTGACTTTTATTGATTGCAGTAAAGGCTAATAGGCTATATGCAAAACTCTGCGATTTGTGCCAGACTGATAGCTGACATCTATTACAGACAAAATATAAGTTCGTGTATTGATTTTCTTGAAATCTGAATTCTGCATGACTTCAAACTGAATATAATTTTTGCAGAACAAATTCTTGAGTTATATTGTCATGCTTGTGTTGTCATTTCTGTGATTTGATTTGTTAACAATGAAGAAGAGAACGCAGTAGTCAAGAAAGAGGGAAAGAAGAAGAAGAACAGGAAAACAAACTGATGTTATAAAAGTAGAATGTGCTTAATTAAAGGCGGTGCATCTCATGTTATTTCTCTTGATGGGTCAGGACAATGTCTTTGTGACTGTTGTTGCTTCTATCCAATATCGAGCCCTTGCTGAGAAGGCGTCTGATGCTTTTTACAAGCTTAGTAACACAAAGGAGCAAATTCAGTCATACGTTTTTGATGGTAAGCTTTCATTGTATTGCCTTTGAGGATGGTAGACTACTCTGAAGCAAAACTAGTAATATACTATTTAGCAACTTTTTTGCTTGTCAATTTTGATAAATATGCTCTCAGTATCATGTTGTACATGATGTTGTAATATATTTCTCTGGAAACTGTATTTAAATTGTATTCTATTCCAATCAGAAGGAAATATATTGTATCTCTTGATGCTAGAATAAGTGAAACTATCTGGTACATGTGAGCATGAAAATCGTCATATCTAGATGAAAATCATGTCTTCCGTTTTCTAATCCTTCTGTTTGTAAAAATAGTTGGCAGTTCAACCTGATGCAGAAGTCCCTGAAGAATTTGGTTAATCATTCCTTATGCTTATTATGGAGCCAAAGTTATCAATATCCAATCTCCAAACCAGCTCTAATGCTTCTCTGCTCACTATTGTTTTGACCAAAACAATCATACACAACACTGATAACCATGATATTTAAGAAGAGAAAATGGTACGAGCAACTCGACAATTCATCATCATCATCATCATCATTGTCACCCGAGTCTTTTCCTCATAAAATAGGAAGATTAGCTATGAAGTGTGCTCTCCAGAGAGATTAGGCAGAATTTATGATTTGTTGTTGACTTGATATTACTCCTCTAGACTATCGGTTCTTATGTCGTTAAAGCTTCCACTTGTGGAAATAAACCTTTGAACAAAGTGGTGAACCCTCTTGAAACCTTACCAACATAGAACAAAAGAGTAGTTTAGGATGTATGAATTTTTCCTTAACTGTATTTGTGGATATAACTCCAACCTGAAAAGTGAAGACAATATGAAACTGTCCTCCTGCGTGTGCATATTGGTGGATGTTATTGATTCTGAACAACTAGTTATAAATCAGGACTAAGAGGTAGTACCCTTGAGCATTTCCAGCCATCTTGATTTTTACAGCAGCTAGGTCAATGAACTATTTAAAACCAGTTGCAGCGGCTTGGAATTAGCAGCAAGCAGGCTGAAAGTACTTAAGATTAGATGACCAATGCCACACTTGGGACTAGTCTTCATGCCCTTCTATTTTATTGTCTATGTGGATTAAAAACATCCATTCAAACCGCAGCTCAAATGTGTGTGCGATTTTATTGTGGTTAACTTTTTAATGCATGTAATAGTGTTATTTATTGGTCGAAGCTATAGGGATTAAACTTTAAAGTGATCCAAAAGCTTAATTTCCATCTCCAACACACTTCTCTGAGCTGTAAGTGCGAGTTCAAACTCCTTGTAGTCTGTATTTCTTGATTATTAGCTGAAGCCACAGCTCAGTTATAATGTTTTAAAGGTCAAAAACAGTGGTTTTAATCTCTCTGTGTATCCCAGTAGGTTCCCATAAGGTAGATGACTGCTGATTTAGAAACTTGTGTTGCCAATAAACAGTAATCAGGGCTAGTGTCCCAAAGCTGAACTTAGATGATGTCTTTGAGCAGAAGAATGATATTGCAAAAGCTGTCGAGCAAGAACTTGAAAAGGTAATCATATTGTTTGTTCATAATATTTTATATATATATAATTTAAATTTAAATTTTTCTTGTTGGAATGACCTTGTCTCTGTCTGCTTGTCCCATGAGTAGGCCATGTCAACATATGGATATGAGATTGTCCAAACACTTATTGTGGATATTGAGCCGGATGATCATGTTAAGCGGGCGATGAATGAGATCAATGCAGGCAAGCCTATTTTATTGTTTACCTTGTGATCGTATGATGCACGATTTTCTTACCTTTATATACTTTGCATAATTAGTGCACCCAACCTCCTGCAAACCAAAAAGGCTAAATTTCCTTAAAAGAAAACCCTGAACTTTGTTGTGTTTTGCACAAAACACCCTAAACTTTGTAAATTCGAGAAAATTCCCTGAAATGTTTCACTAAAATACTGTGACCGACAGATAATTTTGCTTTTATATACTTTTTACTAAGGTAATTTTTGGGGTTGGGGTTGGTTGATATTACTAAAGTTTTGACCTTTTATGCTTTACGCTAACATTGTTTGTGATGATTTCTGATAGTTCGGAAGGATTCTACATAATGTTGAAAGTTCATGCAGATTTTCTCTGATTAACATTTTTGTGTCCGTGTGTGTGTGTGTGTGTTTTTTCGGTTTTCTTTTTTTTGGGGGGGGGAGTCGGAGGTTTTGTGGAATTTACCCACAGCCACGTACATGGAGACAACACGCTCACGCACATGCACATGAAGAAATGCAGAATGAAAACGAAGCCAACTGTCCGCACCACTCAATATAACTCTCGCCCACTCCACCGCCGCTGCCACAATGCAACACATTGCTAACACCCTGTGCTTTTCTTCAATCATTTCAATTTGAATCATATGGGGACTAGGGGTGGAAACGAAGCGAATTTGAACGAATACTGTCTTATTCGAATTCGAATTCGGCTCAATTAGGACTATTCGTGTTCGTGTTCGAATTCGACACGAATACTATATAAACTTCGAATTCGCTTCGTTTATCTGTGCTCGTGTTCGATAACTATTCGCGAACATTCGATTAACACTATTTCCTGTTTAAATATCAAATTATTCATCAACTATTCAATATATATTCGACAATTATTCGCAAATCAATATATTAAGAAATTGGAATCTAAAACAACATAGCAATCACCAGTTACCAGCTTATCCAATAATCCAACTTATCTAGTAAGTCAGTATCACATTACCACATACATAGGAAACAAAGAGGTATTTTAAAGTGAAATTTGCTACACACCAAGATCTTAACTCATACATAAAGAAGTTTTACAACTTTCCAAAAAAGCATAGAAGAAAAAAGTGTTCCAAAAGACTCCAGATTCTCCCAGTTTGATATTTTGGCCCTCATACAATCCAAAAGACTCCAGTTTTACAACTTATCTTGGGCTCTTTGTCGATCAAATCCTGAAAATAGAAACCAATCACATGAAAACAAAAAGGAAAAAATAATTAATGACTATATAAAACTACAACATTTAGCTATAGCCCAAGAAAGTAAGCTTTCTAACTGTTACAGTAAAACACATCATATTCATAGTCATATTAATAATTTATGTTACCATGTGTTAAAGCTTATAATAGATGGCCAATGACTATAGATAGTTTCAGAAGATAATCATACCTGCAATTATTTAAAGAATGATAATCATACCTGCAATTAACATGGACATAATCACACTATTTTGGACCAGTAGACACGGCCATCATCATAGAGGACTGTTTGGAAATCAGGTTAGATTAAGATTTATTTCTAGAAAACTTAAGCAATCGCGCTATAGTATAATGGCTCTCTTCAGTTCATGCGAGTTTCGTTTTTAAGTACCTTTTGAATTAGCTTCTATGACACAATGAAGTTGTAATTCACCAAGACTTATAGTGAGTAAATAATCTAAGTTAGAATTATAGTAAGCCAAAGCAAATAAGCTTCCAAGGTGTTAATATTTACTTTGAACACTTGAATCCCATACAAGATTAGTTTTCATCTCCATATAAAATCAACCCTGAATTGTTCCCAGCCCAACACAAATTTGAAGCATGCATGTAGCAACATAAAGTTTAAACAAATTTGAAGCATGCAGCAACATAAGTGACATATAATCGTTATATTAACTAGTATAAGATTTGCAGATTACCAACATGTAAGGTACAAATGAGTTAAATGAAGGTGTGTGGGCCAAGTAGGTGTTGCCATGTTGGGGAAAATGCAAGGTACAGGAAAAGCCCAATAAGTGCAAGAATGGTGTAGACATTAAACAAGGTTATATTCTCAACAGGTAAAGTTTTTTTTAACAGTGGCAGTTTGGAGATGATGAGGGAGATGGGAGTTTCGGCGGTTTCAGATGAATCAGATCTAGGGTTATGACTTATGAGATAGGGCACTTGTTAAAGCTATTTATATTATGCCAAGTGCTAATCTGAACCGTTCATTCATGATCCAAAGGACATGTGAAACCCTAGGTCCCTAAACTTGTTTATTTATATATGAGTAGAAGTTGTAATAAAAAATTTTGATGGGTTATATTTACAACAGGTTTAATTAATAGTATTAACATATAAAAAGTTATCGAATAGTTAATAATCAGTCGAATTGAATATACCTTTAGTTAAATTCTATTCATTTATAAGCCGAATACTGAAAAATATTCATTTAGTGTTAAATGAACTGTCGGATCGAATATGACCGAATATCTGCACGAATATTAGCCGAACTGTTTATTAAATATTTGGTTCACTTCCACCCCTAATGGGGACACAAATTCTACTTATATATGTAAAATTTCTATGCTCGTCAAGATTTTGTTTCTAACCGCAACATTCCAATATCACACGTTGCTAACACCCTGTGCTTTTCTTCAATCATTTCAATTTGTATCATATGGGGACACAAATTCTACTTATATATGTAAAATTTCTATGCTCGTCAAGATTTTGTTTCTAACCGCAACATTCCAATATCACAATAGCTGCTAGAATGAGAGTAGCGGCAAATGAAAAGGCTGAAGCAGAGAAAATCCTACAAATCAAGCGAGCAGAAGGAGACGCAGAATCCAAGTACTTAGCAGGTCTGGGCATAGCTCGCCAACGACAAGCCATCGTCGACGGCTTGAGAGATAGTGTCCTCGCCTTCTCCGCTAATGTCCCTGGAACCACAGCGAAAGACGTGATGGACATGGTTTTAGTTACACAGTACTTTGATACCATGAAAGAGATTGGAGCATCGTCGAAGTCATCTTCGGTTTTCATCCCTCACGGTCCTGGGGCTGTTAAGGACATTGCTTCCCAGATCAGAGAAGGTCTTCTTCAGGCTAACTCCACTCTTCTGTGATTTGAATCTGTGGAAAAGTTGAGTTTCCTTAATGTGCTGATCAAGTGGTATATAAATGTGTGTAAATGAAGGATACAGGGTAATGGGTTGTTGATATTGTGAATGAGCATACAGTAAATAGGTTCCCGCTAAGGTTTTACATATGGTATTATTTATATGGCTAATAAGGAGATCAAGTGTTTGGTGTTATTTATTTTGAGTGATATCCTAACAGCGGTTAAGTTGTTTACTTCAATGAGTTGTGGATGCATCCCATATGCTGCAGGGCCCCTGATGTCTCAATGGGGATATTTCTTTGTTATTTATATTTGTATTATTCATTCTGATTGCAAGCCGGTGAAATAAAAGGATCTCTCTGCAATACATTGATGTTATCGTCGAATGAAGAGTTCTCTCTGCTACATGTTGAAATTACAGGAATTCATGTGTGTTTTTCAGGTAACAAAGAAATAATTATGTTTAAACATTAAGGTTCGTGCTAATGAAAAACTTAGGAATAATTAAGTGACTGATCTTATACGGTACAGATGATGTATATGCAATGCAAGAACACAACTCCAACTATTGATGGAATTTACATTGAGTATGGATTTTGTAAACTACCCTTAAAAGGATTTTGTAACTTGCCAAATTTCCAAAATACTAAAAGTTGGAAATCTTCTTTTTTTTCTCCCTTTCCCTTTCGAGAGAATTTTTATAGCGGAGGAATATGAGAGTTGTTTTGTTTTGGAGTAAGAAACATAGCCCAAAAAATTAGATGAATTTAATGTTATGCAGAGGTAAGCTACTTAGTTTGGATACACTGTCATAAATTTAGTTTTCTAGTTTCAATTTTGATTTATTTTGTCATTATGTGTAGATATTTGGTCTATAACTCAAGGGCGCCCACAAAAGCTATCAATTTCAATTTGAATCTGGCTTTTCACTGATAAGAAGATAATTGCAACCTAAGGTATTTGATTTAACCTCCATCTTGTTTTAATCTTTTTTTTAAAAGTGCTTTGTTTAAATTCATAAATAAAAAAAGGTTGTGTTTTCATTTGGATGGCTTGTAAATGTAAGTCTATGGAATAAGTGCTCCTTTATTTTGATGTGTAACATGCTCGGATTCAGCTTCTCCAATCATGTTCTCTTCTAATTATTTGGAATTTTCATGACTTTTTAATTCAATTGTGTTACTACCACGTTAATTTCAGAATGCAGTGGGCTTTTTTTAAGTGATGTTGCCATGGGGGAGAGAGATTAATGTTAAGAGCCAATTTTAGACACTAGCCTTCATATTAAAAGCTAAGGATCCTAACTCCAAGCTCCCCATGGGGTTATTTGGTATTGTTTTGTTTTACTCCTTTCTTCTTTATTTAAAAGAAGCACGCACTTTTAGGAGACTGCTTTTAAAAAATAAACTGATGATGCTTTTAAAAGCAACTTTTATTTTTTTTTAAATTTTTAATATTATATAGAAAAAATTTACAAAATAGATCTATTGTAGGTGTAAATTTTGATCTCCCGAAAACAGGGAACTTCGTTTGTATTAATAAGAAGGCTTATTACAAATTAATAAATCAAAATTACAACAGAAGCAGAGGGAAGGCCCTCCTTGTTTAGTGTGGGGACTTTCGGTAGCTACAGGATGCTTCGCTCGATGCTCGTATCGAGTCTGCTTCCCTTGGACGGTTTGACCGAAGTTGCTGGAGAGCTTCAGTACACAGTAGAAACTCGGATTGATGGAGTTCGGGTTCTCGAGTTCGGCAGCGATCAGGGCCCGGAACTGAAGGGGGATGCTACAGTGCAACGGTTATGCAAAGAGCTTGTCGTCGACCCGCGTGGGAGTCGAGAGCTAGTGGTTCAATTAGCTGATTCAGCGATGAGCGAATCGCTAGACGGCTGAGAAACAGCTGAACTTCTTCTTCGTAGCTGGAAAAAGTTCTGAACTGGTGAACCTATGAACCCCTGCCCTGTGGCTGGAAGAAGTTCTTAAATGGTGGAGAGACGGCGTGGTCACTCCTTGAATTATGGGATGCGACCATGTACTGTTAAGAGATGTCTTGCTGCTCATCTGTACTACGAACGGTCATTCGATGGGTTGTGCTTCACGTCGTGTCACGTAGGAATGAGAAGGCCCCCTCCTCATATGTGAGACAGCGGCTGCCCACCACTCGAGTGGATTTGGTCAGCCTACTGTGCACCGGCGGATCCAGCTCTTGACTTGGACCGTTGAGCTGAGTCGCATTTATGAGCGCGCAGGTTGATTTGGCGTCTGTCTGATCACTCGTACTGTGGGCGGCCACTGGACGGGCCTAGAGTACTGTGCTCTCTCCCTTCTCAGGTCATGAGAGGTGGGAAAGCAGGTGCCCAACACTCGAGTGGGTTTGGACAGCTTGCCGAATGCCGACGGATCCAGCTCTCGACTCGGACGGATGAGGTGAGCTGCATTTATGAGTGTTCAGGTTGACTCGACACCTGCCCGATCACTTGTACTGTGAACGGGCACTCGACGGGCCTGGAGTATCGTGCCTTCTCCCTTTAGGTCGAGAGAGGTGGGAAAGCCCGTCTTGGCACGTGGGGTAGCAGATACCTAGCTATTCTGGCGGCCTTGAGGTTCGCTAGCGAATTCGACTTCAGACTCGGTCAGGCGAGTTGTATTAAAAGGTGAATTCCCGTGGCTTAGGCGAATCGTATGGGCGACTTCTCCTTGTAGGCGAATCCCTTGTAAGCTCACAGAGGTATTTTTTACCGTCTACACCTATTTTGCTAAATATTTAGCAAAATAGACCTTTTTTTGGCTAACAGGTAAAAAAAATGTCGATTGTGCTAAACATACCATTCGAAACATACGGGACTACTAGTCCAATATGTTTCGAATGTTCTGTTTGCAAAATCTACCTCTTTTTGACCTGATGGCAAAAAAAATGTCTATTTTGCTAAATATTTAGCAAAACGATCTGTTTTGCTAAAACTTTAGCAAAATAGGTCTATTTTGCAAATTTCTTCTATCATATATATCCTTTAGCTTATGATGCATATGATTATAAAATGACTATTTCAATTACTTATATAAATTACTTTTGTAAGCTACTTATATAAGCAACTTATCATGAGCTCCGGCAATGCGTTAGGGATTGTTTGATTTCCTATTTTAGTAGGCATTTAAAATAGCAATAATATCAGCTTAGCTGTGTGTTTCACCGCAACTAGTAAATACTGTCGAAACTCTAGTTGCAAAAAGCCCTTTAAATGCAGGCAACTACTTGAACAAAATTTAAAATTAGGTAGCAGATGCAATACTTCTATATGTAAAATAGGGTTTAATTACTCATAACCAACCTGCAAATTAGCCCAAAAAACCAAATACTCCAAACAAACACTTACAAGTGAAAACTACGATATCAACTGCAAATTACAAAAATTTTAAAACTAAACTTTCGCAACTGCAAGTCTGCAACTTTAACCTCAAAAAAGTCTACAACTTAAATTATATTCTGTTGTGCGCAACGAAAATTTCGACAGAGTTTCTGGTGCACAATAAAAGAGAAAGATCAATAAGAATTCTTGTTTCTCAAAGGGAACAAGAATCTGAAGCCTAATATCCCATCAAAGTGGGATATTAGCTCTTCCTCTCGTCAACTCTAGGACTGCGCGTCGAGGGATCCTAAAAACTATTACAATGGCCACAAACTCAAACAAACCAATTTTACGTGGTTCGGCAAACTGCCTACGTCCACGGAGCAAGGAGGGGGAGATCTACTATTAGAGAGGAGATAATACAACTAGGGTTTACAATCACTCAATCTAAACCCTCACACAATTATCTCTCTCGAAAGTGCAAAAGGACTCTTTGCACACCGCCCAAAACTCTGTTTTTTTTTCACCAAGCCAAGCCGCAAAATTTCACAAACTCAGCTCTCTGCCTGCACCTGCACGCCGCCAAAGTAAAGAGAAAAAAAACGACTACACCAAAACACCCTCCTTCGCACACCGCCCTAGAAAATCATGTGTTGATATATATATAGTCATTGTGTGATTCGGGTGGGCCTGGCTTCTGGCTTTTCTTCTCTTCACGCAGTTATTCCTTGAGAACAATTCTCTTTCATATGACCTTCTTCAAAGCTTGTGGGCCCCCACTTCACGTGCTCCAACAATTCTCCACCTCGGTGAAGTTTTCCCAAAACTGAGCCGACACCAACCAAACCAAATGCCTCACTTATTGTGTCCAGTACGAAGTGAAACAATTCACGACAACGGACTCAATCCATAACAAGTAGAAACCCAAATGGGAGTGCGAACACTCTTCCAAACGTCGATGTCTACTCACCAAATCGATCTCACCCCCATCAAAATCCAACCCGGCTGCATCGTAAAGACTGCCTACGTATCCTCTTGCCCAATGAATCAAGCATTACGTAGTTCACCCAAATGGTCGCTAATGACCTCAATCCAATAGAAGAGTTCGCAACCCTTCTCCAATATCATCAACTCTGCGGCTGATAGCACCTCCAATGGCCTCAAACACCTCCACCTGAGGCGAACCAATGGCCATATCCAAACTATGTCTACCAGCTGCACTCGATTCAAAACCCAACTCATCATCTGCACATAAGTCCAAATGACTCCCACGCTGTGTCAATCCCAACCAATACATAATGACCTGGAGTATGTGGGAAAATCCCCACCCAATGTGGAGTAGCATCAATCTCCACCCGCTGCGATACCTCTAAGGTCTGTCCAAAACTCTTCACCTGCTGAGAGTCAATTGGCTTCCTCATCGAAGCCTCAACCAAAGTGACACTACCAGACCTATCTTCCAATGGAGTTTTACCTCTAATCGCAACAGTTGGCAACTCTTTAATAGGATGACTCAAATATGTCGAAGCCTCAGTCCAGAACCTCTTCTGAAAACCATTGCTCGACCACAAACATCGATCCTCCAGCAAGACACGGTTCTCCAAATTTGTCACCCTATCTAGTTGCCCCAAGATTTCCTTTCCAACGAAGTGTCTCAAAATACCGTGAGCTCGGCTCCAATACAGAAACAGGTCCATCTTGTATCTCCCACCCAAACTAGAGTGAAGTACCTGGCTCCAATACAGAAACAGGTCCATCTTGTATCTCCCACCCAAACTAGAGTGAAGTACCTTCACCTTTCTGCCAATATCACACTTCTTCAATCTGTTGGAGACTACTAGGACTTTATCCAAATGGGATTTGGTTGCAACCCAAACACGCCTAGAACAGCCACCAACAAAGGAAACCAAACTTCGATTACCTCCCAATGATGCCCTCTTGGAAGGCCCCCAAACATCC